GTATGTTAAAAAATATACAGTTATTTGTAATAATATTTTACAATTTTACTGTTTTTATTGTATTTTTGATTTTTAAAAATGAAGCCTTGATTGACATAAGAGAATTCTCTCAAAAACATTTTTAAAAATCTTACTGTCCACAAACCTTTGAACAGTAGTGTAGAACAGTGGATGTCCATCAAATTTGCATAAACTTTGATATGCAAAACAGTTTGGTTGACATGGTCATGCATGCAATTCTTGGTCTGTCCCTCGTAAAAAAAAGAGGGAATGTAATTCCTGGTTGTTTCTGTTTAAACTCAGGACATCCAGATTTAAGATATCTTATCTAGCAAACACTTTTTTGTTACAAAAAAGCACTTTTCAGTACATTTGAAACTTGACAATGAATTCTTCTTTACTCTCCAGTTCATAGATCACTCCTACCCTCAATTTTTGGATTATCAGCCTAGACTGAAACCTCAACGACACGAATGCTAACACTTTAAACACTTTTAAGATGTTTTAAAGGGGTGGTTGATTATGATTTCACTTTTCTAACTTTAGTTAGTGTGTAATGTTGCTGTTTGAGCATAAACAACATCTGCAAAGTTATAACGCTCAAAGTTCAAAGCAAATGGAAATATTTGCATTTAAAGAAATCGTTTTTTAAGGACTACAACAAACGGCTGGTAAGGACAACAAGACATATCTCACGGGTTAGTGACATCACCAACCCTAAAATGTACATAAACCCCGCCCCCGGGAACACACAGTCCATGTTTAAAAAAAAGAGGAAGAGTGGTTGTAGTCGTCGAGCACATTTGTGAGTCAGCTCAAACTGTAGCATCCTTCTTTTCACATGCAATAGAAAGTCACTCTGTGTGCATCTCACAACAGTTCTTATACAAGCGATTTATAGATTATAATGCTAATTGAAGATGGTTAACTCCACATCAGCAACATCCTGTTGCATTCTACATGTTGTCACTTCTTCTTAGTCTCTCCATCTTTGTCTGACTCCGGTTTAAACATAAAAGGCAGAACAGTTTCTGACATTTTAGTGATGTGTCTGCGAGGTAATCGGAGCTGCTAACGAAGCTCCGCCCTCTGTGCTAGGAGCAGCAGCTTGTTTGCATTTAAAGGGCACAAAACGGTGCATTTTTGCTAACCCTCAAAAAGTGACAACTTTAACATGCTATATAAAAATATCTGTGGGGTAAAACTTCACAAATACACTCAGAGATTTATTTTACATCTTGTGAAAAGGGAATTGTACCACCCATTTAAACACGTAATTAACACGTAATTGGTTGAAACATTACAGTTTTTTACAATCACTTTGCTACTATTTTCAGAACCTTGATGTCATTTTTCAAAACTCTAGACACAAAACTCAAAACGATAATCACTTGTAACACAGGCTGTCTAATGTTCAAAACATTGCATTGTGCATTCACATCTTTAAAGAAATCTTGCACTTGCACAATCATTGGTTCAAAAAACAAATTAACTGTGAAATACCATTGAAACATAACTATAGATCACCCACACACAAGCAACCGATAGTTTCACTGTGTCATTGTTCGTACAATCATTAAATATTGTAGAGCAAAATAGGTGATACAGGTTTCATTATGGTTCTACATGTACAGTAAATACATCTCTGTAAAAGTACTGCAGTAGTAGAGAGAATATTACAGACACAGTGGAATCATTGTGAACAAAGTTTGTAATATATTGATGCAAAACACTACAGTACAATCACAACATGGTTTTTTGAATCAAAGCAAAAATAATTAGCTATGAAATAGAAAAGAAAAGACAGTACTGTAAAACATCAAATGCAGTGTTCCTCAACTTGCTGTAAGAAACTAAACAGGAGTGATTACTGTACTTCTACACTGTCATCAACTCTGTGTTGTGGATTTGGCCACAGGTTCTCATCTACATCACAATGGATGTTGGAAAATGACATCTTGGAAAAAACCTTTGGCATGGCGAGTCCAGGCCTGACACTGCTCTGCTGTGATTGGCAGAATTGGACACGCAGTTACAAGGGCCTGCATCTATACAGTACTGTACTGTCAATACTGTACATAGTCTGAAAAGGTGGTACAGTATTTGGCACCATAGACACAGTGTCTGATGAAGCATTACAGTATGATAAAATATTAGGCTACATCCATGGATATTGTAGTCTAATTGGTTCATGCCATGCTAATTGGTGACAATGAATCTCATTATCTTGAAACTTTCATGATTTACTGTAAACATGGAAGATTGTGTGTCTGTTTCCATACAACTATGCATTAAGAGTAATGCAACAGTTACTTATCATTTTGAGCAGTTGTATCAATTGATAGTTAGATCATTGTAAGGAAATGAATAGACACTCATTTGAAATGTAATGTGTGAATTGCCTTTTGAAATAGTCGTACTTTGATGTTAAGTTGTGTCATATTGAACAGGTGATCTTTGTTGAATGAACAAATGATCTAAGTTTTATGTGTATTGTATCCAAGCAATTGAGAAAAGGGTTGGAGTTTTGAAAAATGTGCTTTTTGATCATTGGTTGTGAGTTTTGTGTCTAGAGTTGTGAAAAATGACATCAAGGTTCTGAAAATAGTAACAAAGTGATTGTAAAAAACTGTAAATTGCTAAATCTTTGCATTGGAAATGCAAAGATGAGCTGGTACCAAGCAAGCAATACTTTATAATGGTCTTTTTTGAGGAACGATATACCAAGCATTCCAAAAACAGAAGTATCAAATAACACAGAGGCAGACAATGCAAAACTCACTGTACTCAACAGTGTTACTGTTAACTAAAATAAAAATGTTTTTGTTAATTGAAATAAAGCTGAAATAATGATTAAAAAAAATTAAAACACGAATTAAATTAAAATTAAATTATTACTTAAAATTAAACAAACAAAAACGTTTTAAGTTGAATGACTAATACTAAACTGAAATAAAACAAATTAAATATAAATATATATATATATATATATATATATATATATATATTTAATAAAAATGACACAAGCATTTAACACAATACTAAAATTAAATAATACAATTGTATAATAAAGACTTACAATATAACTAAGTAATACGGATAAATACCATAAATAACTCTGCAATGTTCAGTGGCTTAATAAAACAATCCATATCTATTGAGCCAACAAGAAGTTATCACAATTTATTTCACAACTGTACAAACAAGCATCACACCCATAATACTTGCAGCTTCTTTATTCAGTCTGAAACCACAGGTGGCAAAACATTTAACCTGCTGCTCCCATGAAATCACTGTAGTCGTGGAGGATCACGTTTAGTTCCAACACACCTAGGCTGTGTACGAATTTGCTATTTGAGGGGACAGCCATTTGTAGTGTTTCCGAAACCATGGTGGATGTTATCGAGTGCACTCATTCAATCCCATAATGCACCACAACAAGGAGTGTACAACTAATGTACGCCTTTACGGCTAGAGAATACCCATAAAGCACTGTGAGGGTCGTACCAAATTAATTCCTGCGTCTCGCCAGAAAATGGCACCCGCAGATGAATCATACATTTTCCAAACCGAGCTGGTCCAATGTGGGAACAGTGTAATATTACACGGGTATAATTTTTTTTATTGATTATTAATTAGTTTATTAAGGTTTATACATGCTAGTTTACATGACAGAATTCAAGGTAAATCTTTTCACTACTGGAGCTGCCTAGTTTCAAATAATTATTAAACAGCAAGCACAATGCAAAAGCAGTAGCCCTTTCGTCGCACTCAGTGTCCGAATTCACTCACTCACTCGCACGGACACTCGTTTTCATTCACTCCTTCAAGCGGACTATATTAGTGGAGTAATGTAGGGAATAGTGAATGGGGCGTATAGTATAGGGGCGAATTCGAACACAGCCCTAGAAGTTTCTAGTGATCCTGAAGACCTTAACTGGTTGAGGTGTGTTTAATTAGGGCTGGAGTAAACTCGACTAAACTCTACTAAACTAAACTCACACACACACACACACACACTAGGCACTAGGCACTAGGCACTAGGCACTAAGCAATTGGCATTTCTGGATTACAGGAAATATAAAGATATGACTCAGATGATTCTGGACATTCAGATGATACATGGACACCAGTAATTGGTACCAAGATCTTGTTACTCTCTCTAGCATGTAAACACTGTCCAGACCGGCTCAGCAGGTCTGACCCACAGGAAGCAAAGCCAGCAGCTCAAACAATGATAAGGGCATTGTGTTTCAGAAAATCCACAAAGTGAAGACGTACACAGATTTTCATTTCTGGATCATGGATGTACACTGCTCAAGCTTTAAAACCTAGCAGACCTTCGAAATTAAGCACAAATTTTAAGCACAAGCATTAGATCTAGCTTTCTAATAAACCATGCACTGTAAACTAGGAATATTGTTAGCTTTGTGTCAAATTTCTTTAATTGATAAGAATGGCTGATAAATGAAATTTGCATAATAGATTAAACATTAATACTAACAATGAATCCTACTTTAGGATTTAGGATAGGAAATGTGCCTACTTTTAACAAGTAAGTTGGGTTTTTTTACAGTCATTTTTTAAAAGTCATTTTATCAATGTCAAAGCAAAGCACTTACAGTACATTAATGTTCATCTCATGAGTTACAGAACAGAACAGTCATAAAAGCTATGAAATAATGTATCAGGGCAGAATTTTTTTAAAAACAAGTCTGCATGAACAGTTTGAAATGCAATTCAAATAGTCTCACTGTAGCTGTCAGAATGTTGTTACTTAATCCTCTATTGCAGCAGTGCAGCCTTCACCTCACTCTCAGAGCTCATTGGCTGGAAGTCAGCTATGATGTCATCACAGAATGTTATAAGGGCTCTGACAAGTAGCCTGGGAGCCACATTCAACGTAACACCGCTCAGCAGAGTGACTGTGTGTGAGAGAGGTTGAGAAAAGTGCTATGGTGACAGAGAAAGAGAGCAAAAGTGTGAGAGAGATAAGCATGCAAGAGAAAGCCATAATGAAGGGAGGATCTACTCGTTCATAACAACCCTACAGACCTCAAAAGAGTACTTAAACATTGTATGGAAGAAGTGGAAGTCTTTTTTGGAGGTTTGTAAAAAATGGCATTGTCTGCATGGAATTGCACTGTTTTTAATCTTGTTTACTAACTGTTTGCATTTAACATGGTTTACCACTCAAATGCACAAACCCCTGTGTTATTATTTTTTATTGACTAATTTAGAATTAATTTCTTGCTTTTACTTCTCAATCTCTGTCAGGTCATGGGAAACACACAGCCCAATGCAAATGAAAGCAACTGTGAGAACATCACAAATTTGAACAACTCCACCAAAAGCGAAGTACAGATGGTGCTTCTGGGCACACTCATGTCCATTCTTGTCCTGGCCATCGTCTTTGGCAACGTGTTGGTGATAACAGCCATCGGCCGTTTCCAACGACTTCAGAACGTCACTAATTGCTTCATTACATCACTTGCTTGTGCTGATCTGGTCATGGGATTGGTGGTGGTGCCTTTCGGCGCCCTTCACGTCATCCTGAGCACTTGGCACTTCGGCAGCTTCTGGTGTGATTTCTGGACGGCTACTGATGTTCTGTGCGTCACGGCCAGTATCGAAACGCTCTGTGTCATCGCTCTAGATCGCTACCTCGCCATAACATCCCCCTTCCGCTATCAGTCCTTACTGACCAAGAGCAGAGCTCGCATCATTGTGCTGCTGGTGTGGGTCATTGCCGGGCTCATTTCCTTCCTACCAATCTATATGAAGTGGTGGACTTCTGGCACAGATGAAGCAATTTGTTGCATGAGTAACGCGACATGCTGTGAATTTTACACCAGCACTGCCTATGCTATCATCTCGTCCATAATCTCCTTCTACATCCCCCTGATCATCATGGTTTTCGTATACAGCCGCGTCTTCCAGGAAGCAAGAAAGCAACTGAAAAAGATTGACAAAAGTGAAGGGCGATTTCACGCTCAGAACAACAATGCCAAAAAGCAAAATGTGGTGAGCAGCCATTGCGAGGTGAGGACCGCCAAGAAGCCCAAGTTCTGCCTGAAGGAACATAAAGCTTTGAAGACTTTGGGCATCATAATGGGTATATTCACACTGTGCTGGCTGCCGTTTTTTGTACTAAACGTGGTAGCGACAATAAGTGATGTGGACAACTTGACATTCAGAATATTAAACTGGATAGGCTACGCTAACTCAGCCTTCAACCCACTGATCTACTGTAGGAGTCCAGAGTTCAGGTACGCTTTCAAGGAAATCCTATGCCTCAACAGGTCACGCTACCCTAACGTTAGGCCAACCAATGGATATATATATAGTGGGCATAGCTGGAAGAGTGAACACAGAGGGCGAAGCAAAGGCAGCTCAGAGGACAGTGACCCAGCTGAGGGCAACTCGGAGAAAGACGGATGCATGTCAGCAGATAAAACAGACTCTAATGGGAACTGCAGTAAAAACCTAATGAGTGTGTTATAAATCACCTTGCGAGTCCTGACTCATTCCAATGTGACTTCTCAATATGTCACATAAGGACAGGTTACGCCTCCTCTGGTAAGTGGCCAATGGTGGGTGTGTGATGGAAAAAAGGACATATTTAAAAAAAAAATTTCTTCATCTACCTCATTGTTTCTAGATTCACTTTATCGGTTCATTTCACCATGACCTCGCTCAAAAAGGTTAGCGCACACAAAAAACAACAACAAAATTAAAGTTAAAAATGCTTTCAGTTTTAAATGGAGAGAAATGTTCAGAAAGAATGTACTTCTATGACATTCAAGATAAACGACACTTTGAACTGGTTGTTCACTAGAGGGACTTCCTTCTTGAGTCATCTTGCATAAATTGAGGAACTGAGCTGCAGTTTTAAAGAATGATCTGCTTTCATTAGATTAGCAGAGTAAAACAGGGGTTGCCTTTTTGAAGCAATTTTTACTTGTTACTTGGTTCAAATTGGATTCTATAAAATGTCTGTGTTAAAATTCACCCAACCCAGCACTGAGACAACACCTCTTACCAAAATGCAAAAGGAAATGAAACCACATGGCCAACCCCGTTTGTTTAAGCAAAATGACAATTTCAGTCATGAGACTGATAAGCTGAGCATCCTTAGATGGAAGTCACTAAATATAAACCAATTTATGCTGACGCACCAAACCACAAAACGCGTGTGTCTGATAACAGAACTTCTCTAGTGGCTCGATTATTATCTGTGATTTGTCATTTCAGGTCTCTTAGCAGGCTCTGTCCTGAATGCCGCCAAATCCTTAATTCACCATGGGAATGTTCTTAACATTTTCCAGTAGGCAAAGTCCAACAGGCCTTTGTGTAAATACCTGAGATTCAGTGTTTATCAAAGTCCTTATGTGACTCCCTCATTACCAAAAACATTATCTAGAAAGATAAATAAATTAAGAGGTATCGAGTTTCCTGTCAGGCTCATCTAATGCACGCAGTGCAAAGCACACAGCAATTTCCCTGTTCCTCACTCACATTTCTGACCAAGGCGTTTAATCTAATGTTCCATGCATATCATGAACTGCATAAGTGGTAAATAGTTTCAAAACTTGTCAATGTTCGTGAACTATTAATGTTCGTGAACTATCTTTACTGTTACTGTGCAGCCTGCTTATGCTGTCAAAAACTGTGAACTTTGATCTTTAAGAAATCTCTTCGAATCAGTTGTGGCTTTTTGTGGTCCTTATCAATTTCTGTGTGTGCTCTGAGGATTTTAGACATTTCTATGTTTGCTTTCAATGGATAAAATGTAGTGATCAATCATTATTTCTGTTCCATGGAAGCATTACATCAAAGAGCAGTTTAAAACTATAGCTTCTTAAAAGGGTGCTTTGTAAATCTGACCAAGATTTGACATTTGAAACATAAACGAAAAAAAATTCACTGTATATGTAAATATTTAAAAGACCATAGAGATTACAATAATGCAGTTTTTCTATAAACAGTAAACTACCAGAGACAGAGAGAGCATGCATGTCCTTTTTCAGGATGTGAAACTGAATGCGACAGCTTGTACAAATTTGTTAACACTGCACCCTTCTGGGAAGGTTTTTCTCTGCATGTCGCTCACCGTGAGAAACTCTGACCTGTACTATCTTGTGCTAAATGAAATATCTGTGCACTCCCTAATTGTGGCAATGCCATTTTCTGTCGTTTCCTGTTGTTCTCTGTGGACACAGTTAACCTGTTGAGTAAAGTGTTTACATTCATTAATGTCTTTGAGTTAGATATGGTTCACAGTTAATGCAACCCCTCATGAATTGCACCTTCATCTTAGTGATTAAGCAATGTTCTGGAGTTAATGTCACGCTACATACATCATATTGATGTCACCTTCAGCATTTAATGTACACCAAGTAATTTTACCATTGAAAGTTTAACAAATCTGTTCAAATTTGTGTGGTCATATCATCGCCAAGAAAAAGCCATTTTGCGTACATACAGGTGGTCATACATATAGGTGGCCGCCATGTTGAGATCACATGACCAGCCAAACACTACTTATTGTAAACCCCCTATTATTAAAGGCTTAAATAAAATGATAAAGAATGACACATGCGAATAGGGAATTTATACAACGACATTTGAAACAAAAATGTTTGCTTTGCAAAATGCTGCAGTTATGCAAATATAGTATTCACCGCTATAAATTTCCAGTGTCACACTGGCCAGTGAAATATAAACAAAAAAATTACTTGGTGCATATTGTAGTCCATCTTCTGAGTCTGTACAGCTAAAATGGGAACAAGACATTGTTAAAATGTTCTGCTCCACAGTTGAAACAGACATTGTGCCTGCAAGGAAATTAATTGTCACATTTGCAAGTACAGACACAGTGTGGACAGCCTCTTACTGATGCATGAAGATGCGATTAAAAATGCCCTGAATATTGCCTTAATGATAAGAGCAGATTTCATAATCATAATGAACACTGCAGTAGGCAAAAGTTCAAACAAAACTTCCCACTCCACAACCCTCTTAGGAAAGCTTAATTCATGGCATGTGTACTGTATATAATGTTGTTCGATGTTTACCTAGATTCCTTTGAGCTACTTTCGCACAAGATTTATCACTGTTTCGTTGAACTACAGTGAAATACGTTCAACCATATTTGTCTTAGTGGTATTTATGAAATACATATGTCATGCCATTTGTATTATGTAATAAATTATGTATTTAATGTATGCCTGGATGTGACTGAGGTTTTCAATGTTCAATGCACTCAAATGAATTCCTAGTATATTTCTGTACCAACAAAGCAATCCAAAAATGCTTCTAAAGTGTTTCTAAGCATAGCTACATGATACAAAAAGTGTAGCTTTATTCAGCCAGTCCATGAGTGCTTATACAGTATGACTTTGTTATAGTATTAGATTCAACACTTATCAGCCGCCTTTTATCTTAGGCCATCAGAAGGAATTTCCCCTCACCATTCAAGAGTAAATCAATCAGCGAATCACCATGAGTATGATTTGTGTCCATCTGTGCTACGTGGAAAACTTCCCCTTAAGAATAACTTCACCCTTTGCATGCGTGGCTGCAACTCAGCCATGTCTATTTCAGTATGGGAACGAGCCCCTGCAGCATGTGATTGGAATAGACTGTGATATTGTAATATGTTTCCATTCTAAGGTTATTACTAGGCCTATATCAGATTCCATTAGAATTCATTCTCATTCACCTCATATCTCTGTGAACAAAAGTGCAGCCTGGATACAGTAAATTACATGGCAAAGAAATGCCTAGGTGTTTGGCCACACAGAACCATATAGGAAGAGTGATACATTAAAAGGCCAATGATTCATGACGTCATAGTTGTAAATGTTCCCTTGATTGATTGGCTCATATGCCTGCTGCGACATTTAGAAAAGAGCATAATAGATTCAACGAAAGGGAAATTCGACATAAATGGAGCCACCAGAGAGGAAAATACAGGAAGGTTTTCACCATCAACTCCATTAGTGAAGGTGAAAAAGTACATCAAGAAATGGATCAATGTATGTGTATGATGAATATGAAAGGATTATAATTCAGGGAACTTAATTACCTTGCAAACCCAATACAGTACTACTAAACATAAAAATATTATGTTATAATACGTAACCGGTCACATTAAACATGTTGCAGTGATAAATATCTTGTAAAATGTTCAGTCAATCAATCAATCAATCAATCAATCAATCAATCAATCAATCAATCAATCAATCAATCAATCAATCAATCAATCAAAATTAAAGTAAAAAAAAAAAAACATCACTGGAAATTATGTAATCATTTAGAATAGTGCAAACTAGCCAAACAGATATACCATCTCAGAGGAAAATGTTATTGTTATTGAGTGTGTTCTTTCAAAGGTCATAAGAATTATTCGAGCTATTTGATTATATCAGTTGTTTCTCAAACTAATTCGGATATATAAAAAAGGTACAAATGAGGCATTTGCTGCAAACAGTATTTTTGTTTTTTATTATTTGGTATTTTATTATTTTTATATTTAGATTTTTATACATCTCCAAAACTACAGGATAAAAAAGACATTTAAAAGCACATTGGGACGACACAAATGAACTGAAACAGTGACAGAACAACAGATATGATGACCACAAATCAATACCAGTGTTATTTTATAATGATCTACTACAGCCTGCTTGAGAAATAAAGAACCGTGTGAAAACATTAGCAGTAACATTAGAAGTTAGAGAGGCTCTATGGATGTGATTTCCAGAGATTCACCTCTTGGAAAAACATTGTGCCTGTGCCTAGCAAAACAACAGACAGCAACATCACAACACAACCTCACCTGACATCAGCAGCCTCAAACAAACACACAGCCAGTCTGAACAACTTCTTCTTTGACCCTCTCACCACTAAATCAAGGTCTATCCCACCGTGAGAAGGTTTCATAAGGACACAAGACTTTAACCTGCTTCAGAACGGCCTGGTTATTAAATGGGATTTGGAACTACTGAACAAGAGCCTCTCTGGTTGTTATTCACGAGTGCTCTCCAAACTGATCTGATCATTTACCTCAATTACACTTGAGCCTCGGCTGAGCTATAGGCAGCACGTCTCCGTTATTAAATCATGCTCGGCTTTCCACCACAAATAAAACTGTTTCATCAATTGGCGGCCCTTAAAAAGTCTCAAAACGTCTGCCAGGCACACATACGGTTTCGCTGTCAATATACGATTTGGAACATAATGTCTTTCTCTGGATTCCACATGCTCACGTTACGGGCCAAATCTCCTTCTCTGCAGTATCTCAGCTCCTTACAAGCTTCCAAGATAATAGAATCATGTTGTGACTGGAAAAGTGCGCAATCCTGCTGAAAAGATACACCGAAGAGAGGCAAAACTGACTGTGAAGAGCAGGTTTTCTCCAGCAAAGGAGTAGGACACTGACCATGGCACCACACAGTCTAAAAGCACTGGTCTCTGAGACTTTCACGGGCCACCCCAATAAAGTCATTCTCCTGCCCTGGGGGTTAAAACAGCACAGCATTAGAGCATGGTTTAATTCAGCCTCCGAGTCCAAGAAAAATATCTGAAAAATACTAGTCAAACAAACAGCCTACATGCAGCCGCATGCAGTGTTCCTTTCCCACGTTTGATACATCTGCCATTTTTTGCTATTAGCTTGTAGCATATTATAGAAATCTCTAAATCCGACAGCAACATGCCACAGCTGTCATCATGGACGTGCAGAACAAAGAACTTTCGCACTGTAATAGTGCCATAATGGTCTGAACATGAGGAGTGGGAGACATCAGTAGAGTACAACATAAACACTAGCTATCAGCAGCATGACGCACACAGACACACATGAAGACTAACGCTGGTGCATATGCAGTGGTGAAACATAAAAACAAGCCGCGCACACAAACGAACACAGGGGAGCTGAAATGAGACACCACAAAAGCACTCAGAGGAGAGATTATGGAGTCACTCACAGGAGCCATTTTAACAAAGTAAGAGCCGAGGGTCCCTCTTGTGCTTAATGATTTTGCCATTAGAGTAATCCAGCGTCTCATTTTCTCCCTCCAGAACACA